AAAATATTAATTAAAAAATAAATTTTTAATCATATTCTAAAAATTTAAGAAGAGGACCTGTAAAGCAATTATATATATGTGAGTGGGGCATGGCATTTTGATCAGATCAGTTACCTGCTGCGATGGTGGTCAGAGCAAGTCCCCGGCAGCCGTCAGGTTTACGGCCGTCACCACGCTTGCCTAGCGGGCAGTCACATTCATAATTCCCAATAGTATTACGACAACGGCCTTGACAATGATACTTGTCTGGTTCTTTGCACTCGTCAATATCTGGTGGATTAGTATTAAATTAGTCATTATTAAAAGTAAAAACAATCCAATCCATGGTTTAAATTTTTTTGTAAAGGAGTCTGCAAGAGTTGTGTGTAAATAGTACCTTGACATCCATCCAGGAGATATGGATTTCCAGTGAACCCTGGGTTACACACGCAACGACATCCACCACCGTCGCTGAAGTAAGAGCAGTTAGCATGATGGCCGCAAGTATACCCAGACGGACCTTCTCTTGCTTGGCAGTCCTGTTCTCCGACTCCGACCACCCATTCAAACACCACAGGCGTCCTCTTTATTGCTTTTGGGTAACCAAGGAAGTCAATTTTCGAGATGTTGAAGAAATTTGCAACCACGTAAGTATAACTGCAGGGGTTGAAATCCAAAACACCACTGTGACCATAAAGGCTGGCAGCCGTAATGTTCAATGTATTGAGGTACTTGGGGATGAAAGTCCGGCAGCATCCGAAACTGGAGCAAGAACCGTCCCTTTCAATATCTGTAGTGTCATTGCAGACGGCTAGGCACCCACTTTTAAACCTTCCCTTTCTGTCGCCCATTAAGGCCGCGGTGTCGCAGCCTAAACCAATCAACTTGTTTTGGGTGTGGGAGATGGTGAAGGGCTTGACGCTGAGGGCGATACCCATCCCCCTCCAGGTAGAATTGTTGTAGTAGCATCGGTAGGCAGGCCTAATGCCTCCAGTGATGGTGCCGTCTTCAATTGATATGTCGTAAATTGGGATCATGTTCTTGTTCCCCCAGAAAAGCCCACTCTGGTTGCAGTGAAGCTGGAAGGATTTATTTTTGGCGCATTCAGGACGGTCAAGCCCAAAAGGGTAAGGAACATTAACGCTCCCACATGTTTGCCTACAGTTTTCTAAAGAAATATTTGAAATTGCTGTGACGGCAGAAGATGGCAATATGACCATCATCACCACCATCCACAACGCCAAATATCTCATCTGCATATATAATTTTGTTTTTTTTTGCTTTTAAAAAAAAAAAGCATAGACAGAGCTGTATGTATATATGATGCTACTATATATAGGCGGAAAGTAGGGAGGGCCAATAATTAACCTTTCATATTATTGTGTTGTTTTATATTAGCATAGAAGACTTGGTCCTCAACTTGAGTTATTTATTGGCCAATGATCAATAATTAAGT